AGCACATACAAACACACACTCAAAAACAACATCAACAAACTCCTGGAGGCGAAGGCAGACTAGACGAGAATTGATCTCCTCTCCCACAAGGAGAGGCTTGCAAGGAGGGAGAGAGAGAATGGGAGATGGAGAAAGATGTAGAAGAATTGTTTTTACCCATGTATGGCTCTCAGGCCTGTAGGCCCCTCATCCTTCTCACTCTCACTCCCTCCTGTGTCACTCCCAGCGGCATGTTTCTCTTTATCTCCCTATCTCTCCCTCCATCAATCTCCATCTGCCGTCTTCCTCCCTGTAGGTCCAGACCCTTCCGCTACTCCACTGCCTCTCGCCGTCGCTGCCTGTTTTAGGTGTGTGTCAGGGGTTTAGACATTTGTTCAAACACAAGTAAGAGAAATGAGACAACTGCAGACCAACTCAGAGAGTAATTAGAAAACGTGCGCACGGGTGAATGTCTCTCTGAGAAGACACCACCCCGAGCACAGGCTCGCTGCTTTATTTATAAGGCAAAAATGGGTTACATAGTACTTCCTCTTTTTAACAGTCAGGGAAGAGGTTAAACATGAAATCAGCTTATCTGATCTTTCACACACTGGGATTAAAAATACAGAAGTATATCATGCTTTATCTGACATCACAGACATTATAGGAAAGAATGCATCATTATATCATGCTGTCAAAACATCTCAAACACTTAAGTAAGGAATGTATCAGTTTTCCTTTAACAATAAACTTGGTTAGCTGATTCTTCAACAATAGGCCTGGTTATGTGAAAATATATGAACACACTAAATATAAGGCACACTTGGTTAGAATATAAGGCCTACTTGATTATATTGTATTATAGAGATTTGATTATAGTGTATAATGTAGAAAATCTCTTGACAGTGTGTCACATCTCCAAAGACAGCAGGGAAGCAGAGAGTGGCTAGAAATTAAATATCAGTAGTGAAAGAAGAGGAAGAGTGGTAGAAAGCTTTGGTCAGTGCAGTCAAGGGGAAAATAGAGCATGTTTTTTTTTACATTTTCTGTTTTTATCTTAATTTTACACACTGGATACGCATTTAAATCACAGCATTGAAGGACCAAATGTCAGCCATGATCACCATGTATATAAAAAAAATCTTTTTTAATGCTACCAGCTACAATGACCATGACTGGAAGGCAGTTGAAAAGGAAAGAAGATATGTGCATGCAGGTTGGCTTGAAAAAGCATATTAATAATAAGATGCATAGTGAATGATAACTTTCAGTTTTTATACCATGTCCGCTTTTAATCTGGTATACCACTGCAGCCCTACTTATGGAAGATGCTACAGCTGGACATCTAAGGGGATTAAAAGGTAAATTAGGCTTCTCAAAAAAGCCATCTGTTAGCATCCTGTATATGTCCTTGAGGTTTTTTCTGTTTAAAGTCACTTCAGGTTTTGAAGGTTTTTTTGTTTTTCTAAATAGTTTTTAAAACATAGAAAATGTCTGCATATTAATAAGAATAGAAAATACTGTTCATCATTACTGCTAAAACAATCTATAGTTAGTTTATGATTTTTTTCTATGTTAATTTCTAATTATTATTTTGGTTTGGTGAAATTTGATGTTTAATAATAATAATAATAATAATAATAATAATAATGGATTGCATTTATATAGCGCTTTTCGAGACCCTCAAAGCACTTTACAATTCCACTATTCATTCACTCTCACATTCACACACTGGTGGAGGCAAGCTACAGTTGTAGCCACAGCTTTAATGTAACATTTAATGATATTTATTAATTTACAGAATAAATTAATCGGTTACACAGAAAAAAAATGATGCAGGATGAATTCTTTTCCTTGGATCCTTATGCAGTTTGAACAAGAGAGAAAAAAACACAAGATAAGAACAGAGTATAGAAAAATAGTGAGAAGGCTGGCATAAGTTTCCTTCACAGTCAGCAGTGACAAGCTCCTTTTCATTAAGGTCCCCTGCATCACTTTCCTTTCCTCCATTCTTAGCCATTTCTTACTCTACCCACCACTCTTCCCTCCCGTCACCCCCCTCTGGTCTGTCTTCCTCTCTCCAGGCATGTTGTGACAGGGTGTAGCAGTGTGTTATACAGGGTTCTACTCACCAAGTGCATATTATCCTGTAAGGCTTAATACCTAGGTTGGAACAAAAGGGCAGGCTTGGAAATTATAGCTTACGTCGCTTAGCACTCAGCACAACAGTCTGACTCACATGAAAACACGCGTGTGTGAACTTCATATATCCATGCAGATGCACAAGATGACACTGCCGTGTGTATGCATATTCAGAACTCTGACAGCTTAGTCACAGACACACAAAGATTTTGTAATGCCTCTTTCACGATTAGTTCAAATGCATTAAATCCTGTTTTAGAATTAACTGCCTTAAATAAATCACTCAATTTATGCCTGGTATTGACAAACAATCTGTAATTGGATGACAGTGTATAAGGCCCCAGACACACAGGCAAGTAGTCCTGGAAGTTGCTGTCAGTTGCTAGGTGAAATTGTTTGCAAAGACTGCTGCTGTGCACCTACTTGCATTTGCAGCAGTCTTTATTGTAGCAGATTGCTTTGATCGAGTGTTTTTGGGCAAGGCAGCATCTTGCATGAAAACTAAGGGCGGCCATAGTGATATGCTAGTAAGCATCAGGGAATACACCTTACCTACTGACCAGAGGTTGGAGAGGGTCACTGACACGTCTCTAGATATGTGAGACTGAGGCCTAAAGAAGAAAAAGTCTTTGTAAAAGGAATTTGTTCTATGTAAAAAACACAAAGTGCTCTGAGTTGTAATGGAAGGTACTGTGATCAGATTTCATCCAGGTGAATATAGCTCATCAAATAATGAATAAATACACCAAACAAGTTAAAACGTCATCTGAGTCTTCTTGTAGACTTCAACAACTCTAACAAAATGTTTGTTGACAAGTCTGTGAGCCGTGTTTAACTTATGTTTTTAAACTGTGTTAACAATCAAGATAACAAAAAAGAATTGATGGACAATTGCAAACAGGCCCCATGGACTGTATTTATTACCAAAGATTAATGCCAAGGTGTGACTGTGGTGAAGAAGTACAGCCGCGACTCTCCGCCATATCTCAGTCTTGTTAGTGTGTGTGTGGCAGAAAGCCAGGTCAGTCTTCTCTGTTTTATAAATCTCCTTTGGATGGACTTGTGCAGCCATAAAATGCATTGATTTTGTTGCACACATTGTGGTAGGAGACACACACACTCACACACACATAGACAGATACAAAGCTGGTTATTGATACTTAATACACAGTAAACATATGCATATACGTATTATACACAGTTTTTCACCATTTGCCAGCCACAATAAAGGAATAAAAATGTAAACAAATAATCATTTAAATCATCTTGTCAATAAAATGATTATTAGCTATGTTCCTGATTAAAACTTTACAATTTAAGTGTTTAAAAAACAAACAGTAGCAATAAAGTTTTAACACTACATTAGCTGTTTTCCATAAACCAATTGATTTGCTTGCACCCTAAAAGTTTCTAAAAAAAACCCCTAAAAAACAATAATAATGCTGTGCTACGACTAGGCGCTGACCTATTGCTTGGAGCATGTGTGTGTGTGTGAGTGAGTAAGAGTGTTTTTTGTGCTTGGCACATATTTCTAGTATTCAACTATTCAATGCACCTGCATTTTACTAAAGCTCTCTCTTGTCAACACTGCAAAGAGATATTGAAACATCGTGTACGGCAAACAACAGTCACCATGTTCTTACACTCACATACACTCTCACACACACAGACACTTGCACAAATGCACGCACACACACTGTAATAGCATTCACATAACCAAACAATCTGCAATCTACTACAAACTCTGAAGTGCACACTGTCTAAAATAACCCTTTGGGGGGAACAGAATACAAAAAGACTCAGAGAAGCGGAAAGAATGAAACACTGAAATACACTCTCCTCATCTCCTTTCCTTCCTTCTCTTTTTCTTCTCTCTCACATACACACATGTGCAGATACTCTGTCTATTGACATGCAGATAAATCACAGCCAGTCCAAGCAGTCACTGATGTGACATGAAAATGACGCTAATCTGCTGTTACCATAACACGCACCGACACATCAATTATTAACGCTTACAATAACTCCCCACTCTCTTTTCTCTTTCTTGTTCCTCTCAAATGTCTTTTTCCCGTTGTGTACATCTCACTAAAAGAACGGGACAGAGTCAGTTAAAAGCACCCATGTGTTCGGGTCTTTTGATGACATGTATATTATAGAAGTGCTTTTTATCTTCCAAAAACTGTGATTTTTTTCCTTACAAATATGCTCAGTGTTGGTGAAGCTAGTAGCCCCAACTCTTCAGCAGCGCACATATGCTATATGAACAAAAGCTCTGGGCCACCTACCCTTAACACCTACAGGAGCTGCTCAGCCATTAAAACCCTTGGCATGAAGCTGCTAGTGCAAAGTTTTTAATGCTGATGTTAATGCCAGAGCAGGTTTGGATCTCTGCAGTTATTGATTTGGTGACTTTTAAATACTTTGTCTACACTGTAATTGAATGCAGCCTGACACTTTGAAGTGCTTCCTAAACACTTCCACTTTACAATAATACCACTCACAGTTGATCATGGAAAATCTAGGGTGGAAAACCGACTTGTTTGGACTGTGGCATCCTATTACAGTGCCACACTCAAATTCAGTGAGCTCTTTGGAACAACCCGTTCCTTCACAAAAACGTTTTTAAAGATAGACTGCTGTGCAGTGGCAATGGGACTGAAAACATCGACTTCAAAGACTAAGAGTTGGGATCCGATACTTGTCCATATAGTGCTTATAGGGTTACCTTTGTGAATCTTGAGAACTTATACATGTGTAATTAAATGATCAAATGGAAAACATGCTGTTATTATTTAGCCCTACGAAAGATAAAACAGGACATACATAAACAGCATGTATGTTTTTTTGACCCGCTCCTGTTCTGCTCTCCTCTACAGGCAATCGATTCTTCCTGACCTCATTTGGCGCGCTGTACATCTCAGAAGTGCAGAAGGAAGATGCCCTTTCCACCTACCGCTGCATCACAAAGCACAAGTACAGTGGAGAGACTCGTCAGAGCAACGGAGCCAGGCTCTCTGTTTTGGGTAAGCAACAATTTACTCTATGAAAAAGAGACTTGTGTTTAAGTTTTAGTTTTTGAGATTTTTGGTGTTTGAAATCAATAAAACCTTTTTGTGACCTTTATAACCTACAGACCCTACGGAGTCCACCCCGTCAGTGCTGGACAGTTTCCAGTCCAGTGAGGTGCAGGTGGGGCATAATGTGGAGCTGCCCTGCATCGCCTCTGGATATCCAAACCCGACCATCCGTTGGCTAAAGGATGGTCGACCATTACCAGCAGACTCGCGCTGGACACGGCGCATCACTGGTCTCACCATTTCAGACTTGAGACTCGAGGATAGCGGCAACTACATCTGTGAGGTCACCAACAGCTTTGGCTCCAAAGAGGTGACGGGTCACCTCAACGTGATAGGTGGGTAAATTTTTAATTTGCCTCTCCTGTCCTCCAGTGTTCCCCTCAAATAGCAACTGAGTGCAATAGGCAGAAGTAGTAAATGTGACATCAGGACACAAACCGCAATAGAGACATCTTTTAAGCTCTGTCGGTTCTGCCGTGGCCACCCTCGTCTAGGTCGAGCATGAGCTTGATATTTAAGGATGGCTTGCTCCCCCACTGTGTTCTCAAACCGCAGTGAAGCGTCTCCACAGTGACAGAGAACAGTGGTCATGCAGGCCTGTCGCTCCATTTTCCGATGGGTGTGTGAGAGAGAGGAGAAGGTTATGGAATATATACAATAACATTAATGTTAATATAAGAGATGTTAAAAGGTGACACACATAGAAGACACAGAACACTTAGAGGAGGTTATGGAGTTGGTAAAGATAAGAGATGAAATTTGAGGGTGGCTTGAGACGAGTTAGTGGACGCTGAGTACACTGGCCACAGGGCACATCATTGCACAGCCTACAAACCTCAAGTGACAGGGCATGCAAGGTGGGACACACACACACACAAATTTGGACAAGCATACAGTATATACACTCAGTGCCCATGAAGAAAGTCTTACACATTCATTGTCACAGAGACACACATGCTCACACACATTCAGCAGCCTCCAGCACCTAACACCAGCTGCTTTATTGCTCACTGACATTTTCTCCCCTTTTCGTCTTTCTGTCTCGGTTTTCCTCGCTGCTTAGAGCGTGCGCGCACACACAAACACAAAAAGTCAGAAAAAATGATATACATACAGAAAGCACAGACTTATTATACCAACATGTTATTTGTGTTGAACAGCACAGAATAGCTCAATAAAAATTGCTCTTGCGCAACAATGCAAATAATACACTTTTTAGTGCCCGAGGGACACGCACCAGTTTTTGTACCTTCAGTATTTGGGTAGCAACTGGCTTCTGTGCTTGCTTGCTGCTTACCGCTTCATCCCTTTTTATTTTTTAATTTACTTTGTCTTGCCTGTTCCTTCTACCACCTTTAGAGCCACTGCGGGTTACCTTGTCTCCCAAAAATCTGAAGACAGGGATCAGCAGTACAGTCATCCTCTCCTGTGCTGTTCAAGGTTCTCCTCACTATATGGTGTCCTGGTACCGCAACACAGAACCTGTTTTGCCTGATCAGCACTTTTCCATCCAGGGTGCTCACAATGAGACGCTGTTCATTTCTGCTGCACAAAAAAGACACTCGGGTGCTTACCAGTGCTTTGCCACACGCAAAGGCCAGACTGCCCAGGACTTCTCCATCATTCTCCTAGAAGGTATGGAAAATTATGCTTCTAATATTTGTAAGAAATTGTCTATGTCTATTACTCAAAACTGTTCACATATAGAAAAGGAAAAAATAATAAACAACAAACAGCTTTTTGTTGATTACTATTATGCATATACTGTTACAGTGGTCTATACTCATATTAACCCTCTGAAGTCTAAGCAGTCATTGTTGACCATCCCAGCCCAACCACAACCATACTTAATCCTAGGAAATCGGAATATATCATTTTAGTTTTTATCAAATCGCTCTCTTACAGAAAGTCAAAGAAAGTAATCATTCCAACTTAAGCATGAAGACATATCCATATTTTTCCCAAACAAGTCTACTTTGCCTTCCTCCATAAATGTTGGAGTAACCAGCTAATCATCTCAACGTAGAGTACTGCACAAAGTCCTGAGCTACTCCTTATTTCCCTATATTTTCCTTACAAGGAGCTCGACTTGAAATTTTTATTTTTTTGTAAGTGGTCTTGAGCAACAGTTGTTCAAGATTTGTTTGCTGCGTTTTCATCCATATTCAGACCAGTTCTTGTACCTGGCCATTTTCAGAAGAATGTGTTTTGTATGTTTGGGTTAAGCCATTTTCCGCTGAGCAGGTCTGCAGATGTCCGTCAGCACACAGAGCAGAGATCTGAGCAAGAGCAACGCCAACAACTGAGTGAGAGGACTGTTATTGTGTGTATATGGATAATAGCAAACACTGAAATACATTTCTTGCCCAAGCAATGAATTTTGTTGGCTCAAATTAAGCGTTTCTTTGCTCAAAATAATTGTATCCTCAAAATGCAACATTTGCACTTGCAAAAATTTTTTATGTGCGCTCAGAATAGAGGCTCAAAAATAACAGCATAGAAAAAGTGTCATATTTTTGTATGGTGTGCAATGTGAAACTGGACTGAAAGTGGGTTATAAAAGAAGAAGTGGCAGGCTCGGAAAACTGTTTACAGCAGATGAACAAGACTTGAAAACCATGTTCTTATGAAATAAGAAAAAAAAATCCAGCAAAGACATGACATAGGACCTGAGAGATGCATCTGGCCCTTTAGTTGATCCATATACTTTTTGCCAAAGCCTCATCAGAAATGGTCTCAGTGGAAAGGTGGCTGTCAAGAAGCTGTTCTTAAGGGAGGGAGACAGGGAGAAAAGGCTGAGGTATTCCACAAGAACTGGACTAAAAAGCAGTGGCAACAGGTCTTATGGAGGGATTAATCCAAGTTTGACATTTCTGTTAAAGTTATTTTCCAAATTTATTTGATGAAATCAGAAAAGAGGTACCAGGTACCAGCCATTTGTGAAACACGGTGGAGGATTTATGGTGTGGAGTTGCATTTTCAGCCAGTGGTGTTGGGAATCTTGTCAAATTGATGAAATTATGAATGCAGAAAAGTGCCATCAGAATTTGATCCGCCATGCAATATCATCTGGAAGGTGTCTTGATTTTTCTGCACTGATCCCAAACAAGCTGCTAATGCAATAAAATGTCTGAATAGAAAAACACAGAGTGGAACACTTTCAGTCGTGGATTGGCCTCCCCAGAGCTCAGACCTCAACATTACTGACCCAGAGAATGGGTGACAGAATGGGCTTGCCTAAGAGAGTTCATGCTGTGTTGAGGAGTAAAGGTGGTCATATCAGATGTTGACTCTGTTGTTCTTGTATACACTGTGTTTCCACTGCCCCCCACCCCTTTCCCGTTTTCCTAGCAAAATATAATGGCACAATATTTTTACAAGTAGTATATGTGAGCCAACAGCACAGGCTTCATTCTGCTCTAAAGACTTTGTTGCTCTGTCAGCGAAAGAGGAACTTGTTAATAGGGTCATCTCAGGGACACACCTCTGGCTACAAACACAGAAGCCCCGCCTACCTGCTGTTCAAATTCTCTTTGCTAGGGGCAAATCAGAAGAGAGTGGGCTTAAAGATTGAACTCGGGAAATTAGCTTAGAGAGGAGCAAAAGTAACATTTTTCCTCCAAATTCACACTTCACATCTCTTGTGATTGTTTCCAGATGGCACACCCCGTATTGTTGCCTCCTTCAGTGAGAGGGTGGTTGTCCCGGGTGAACCGTTTTCCCTGATGTGTGCTGCCAAAGGAGCGCCTCCACCCACCATCACTTGGACCTTGGATGACGAGCCTGTGGCCAGAGATCTGTCGCGTGTCAGAGCCAGTCAGTACACCCTGTCTGACGGCAGCACCGTGAGCCACGTGAACGTCAGCAACCCACAGATTCGTGATGGTGGAGTGTATCGGTGCGCCGCACGAAACTCAGCCGGTAGTGCTGAGTACCAAGCGCGCATAAACGTAAGAGGTGCCTGTCTACTTTTCAATATCAGTCATACGGAGGCTTCTCATAGCCTGACCCCTACCCCACCCTCTCCTGTACCCTTCTATATCTCTCCCTCTTTCTCTGTATGTGTTTTGCTTCCTCGTATATATGTATATTTTCAAAATTTCCTTTTTTCCTTTTTTAAATTTATTTATTTTTGGTTGTTTGTCCATCTTTCTATCTACACATTAATCTTACAAGGGAGTGTATTTTTTCTTCACTAGCCCTTATACTCTGTCTCGTTCTGTCTTCTTTGCTGTGCAGTTTGGGTCCTCCAGCTGCATATGTGCTGGTGTAAACTCATGCATAGATAAGACAAATACACCAAGTCATCCATCAAGTTTATCTAATTATATTCACATCAATATGTACACACATATGCATGCTTGCAGGGAGATAGAATATTCAAATGGAAACTTTCCAGCTTTATACTGTGAGTTGTTAATGGAGAGGACGTGACATTAAGGTAATCTGAGACTTGAACGAAGAAACCTAAGAAGGCACAGAAAGACAGAGATGTAGGTGAGGCAGAGTACTTGAAATGGGAGAAGAATAAGAGAAGGGGAGTGGCAATGTATGTTGAGGGAGTGATGGTAAACTCTGGTGACAGGACAGGTGATGTCACTGTCGTCTGAGATAACAAGAATGAGGAGTGACACCACTGAACAGGGCTGTATCACTGTCTCCATCTCCCTCTCTCTCACACACACACACTCTCTCTGCTTTCATTGTCCATTGGTGAGATGTGTAGTTGTGACATGTGAGTCTGCCCGAAGCAGACATGCCAGAACGATCATTGGAGTGAGAATGAGCCCCGCTGCCAGAGAGTTTCAAGCCCACATGCAACACAAACTGACACAAATACAGCCACGACGCGTACATGGACACAGACATTCAGAAATGAAACAGCAGCACAGCGCTATGCTTATCCACTCACTCAAATGTGATACGCCCAACTTATCTCATTCAGCGAGGGACCCACAGCAAGCATTCTGAGCCACACAGACATAGTTGAGCACACGCGTGTCACACAAACACGGTATCTGTGTTTGTGTGTGATGGTGTTGCTGAATAATACATCTTTGACTCGTCAGAGCTGCGACTTCAAAGGTTGGCACATACTGCGAAAGGGAGGGGAGAGAGACAGAGGGAAGTGAGAGGTAGGGGGACGGGAAGGAGAGACAAAAACAAAGATACAAGACGAACAGTGGCGAGGAGGTCAACAAAGAAGTGACAGATGATTGAGTGATAGCTCACAGTGTCTTCCAATGATGCTAAACAGAAACACATTTTGTGTCGGCCTGACTGCCTGTCTACCTGTCTACCTGTCCTCAGCCTTTCTCTGCCTCTTGGCAAGACTTTATACTGAGGTAGTTGAGCTTTTTACTAGTTGCTTGTTGTGGTCACTATTGGACCACAACATTTTAATAACAAGTTTGTCATAATTTAGAACTGTGGAAAAGATAAAGCGCATTTCAGACACTGACACAAACAAGGGAGGGTTTTTACACCCAAAGATTTGCTTTGAAACCGTCAGAATTGGTTGGTCAGCATGAATGAAAACTCTGTTATTACTGGGCATGTAAAAGTGCTATCTTCTCACAAAATGAAGTACAGAATAAAGTCAAGTGTCATTTTAGCAGGGGGTTTTTTCCCATTGGTTTCACCCACTCACTTTCCCTTTCTCTGTATTTCACGCTCTCTTTTTAGAGATGTCATGCAGTCAATTATATTAGATCCCGGTGTGTTTAAATGTCAGTAGCATTAAATAAAATTATCATCTCTAGCCCAGTCTGACCTGTAAACAACAACATGAACGTTGGTGTTTTCTTCTTCTAGTTTCCGTTTGCTCCTAAAAGAAACAGTGCAAATTATCAAAAGTAGAAAGACATGAGCCACTTTTATCCAATTTATGCCCCGCCTAAACCTGAAAAAAAAATGTAGTTCATGTTTATAAGGTTATTTTAGTAAACGTCTTAGTATATGTAATCTCCATAAACCTAAAAAAATTCCTTAAGATCCCACATCGGTGAGAAATGAGGTTAATATATTTTCCAGAGAAAACATCTGAGGGTGGGTGAGAAACTGTTTCCACCAGAAAAGAAACTTAACACTAAGGCAGGCCATTTTAACCTCTCTTTCTCCCTCTCCTCTGCAAGCTTCTCTCCTCTTCTGTCCACTAGCCTTCCCCTACCACCCTCCCCGTTATTCCTAAAATTCCCGTGACCTGCTTCTGACACCGTCAATTAATACACTTCTTTTTTCCTCCTCTCTTCTTTTTGATCAACCCATCTCTCTTTCTGTTTTTCCATTTCTCTCCCCATTTGCTTGCTCTCTCCATCAGGTCCTCCAAGGATTCGGCCAATGAAGAATATCACCGCCGTAGCAGGAAGAAACACTTTCATAAACTGCCGTGTGATTGGGTACCCTTATTACTCAATAAACTGGTACAAGGAGGGACTTCTACTGCCTGACAACCATCGCCAGGTAGAGTTAGTGCTCTCCATTTCTGCTCCAAAATAAATGAATAACATGAATAAAAATATATCTTGGTATTGGTTTTTCATACAGCACTATAAAGCATTTAATCTATACACATATTTCTCACTGTGTGTATAGATTATCCGTAAGAGGCTTGTGTTCTTGTCGTTTAACAGCTGTTATTTAGAAATATTGTATATTTACTGTAAAAAAAAAACATAATGAATCTCATAACTTAGAATAACATAGCTGGACAAAATTACAAAAATGTATATGTATATATATTAAAATTGTTAATTTATTTTTAGACAGTGTGGCTCTGCATAGAGCAGGTGATCTTCATACATCCATTTTATAATGAAAGCTTAAGCAAGTGTTTAACCATAAAAAGGGATTTTGCTGTCTGAAACACTGACTTAATGATCAGTGGCATCGCTGTTACTTTTTATTGTATGATACAGGCCTGTTACATTACACTGTTTTGGTCCTATTTGATTTAGTAGTGTACAGAAAAAAAACCTGTATGGAATCTTGAAAATCCTTAAAAATTGGAAATAAATTAATTTGCAAAGCAAGTATGTCTCATATGTATGAGCATCCTCTTATTTAACTTCAATACTGCTGATGTCTGTCCAGGTGGTGTATGAGAACGGGACTCTAAAGCTCAGCGATGTTCAGAAAGGGATGGACGAGGGGGCCTATGTCTGTAGCGTGCTCATCCAACCGCAGCTCTTTATCACACAGACTGTTTATGTTACTGTCAAAGGTAAGTCACAGAGGTCACAGCTTTGAGACAGTAGCTGCTGGTCGGTATCTGTTTTTGGGTAGCTGCATACAGTAGAGGCATTATGACATGAGAATGCACATAATCTTCTCTCAGTGATGTAAATTCTGTAAAGGGAAAAGAGATGAATATGCTACAAGCAAAATTATATAGAACCAGAATTTATAGTAATCTGACTTTGTTTTACTGTGTCAAAAAAAAAAGAAATTATGAATGCTAATGAGAGTGATTGTAAGAGACATGTTGGGGAGCAAAACTGGTTAAGAGCAAGATGGTGTGAGTGAAGCAGAGGGAGAAGACAGAACAATGCTGTATGCATTGCCTCTAATAACCCCTGATTAAGGGGCGGAGTGGCCTAGTGTGAGCTCTCAACCACTCAGCAATTACATAGAGCAGGAGAGCTATTATATACGATTTGTGTGTGTGCATATCATACTCATGCATATATATATATATATATATATATATATATATATAAATAAAATGTGTGTGTGTCTGTGTGTGTGTGAGAGAGATGACTATGAGTGTGTATTCTGCATGTCACCTTGTATGTTTGTCTCTGCTCTCAGCTGCAACAGAACAATGTGTTTGTTTTAGGATGTTGTCGAGTATAAGCGTGCAGTGTGTGTGTGTGTGTGTGTGTGTGTGTGTGTGTGTGTGTGTGTGTGTGTGTGTGTCTGTTTGACATTGGCATGATGTGTGAAATTTGTGTGGCTCAGTGGTCTGTGCATACTTGCACATGTGAGTATACAGGCACATTTGCGTGCATGCATACGTTTGCCGGGTTTAGGTATGTGCTTGTATGAATGTGTGCTTGTCATGTCTTTGATTTAATTAGATGAATTTTAACGAGGCCCAGATTAAATCCCCCAGATGTCTCAGCTGTAGTCCCCCCCACCTCCACCAACAACAACCTCTACTTCATCCCCCACTCCAAACCACCACCATCACCTCTGCCGGTATCCATGGTAACACTCTTCTTCCCCCTGTGGATGGGGCTCTAATTAGAGCAGCTATTATGGGCTGGTTTTAGCAGGGCAGGGTAGGGTGGAGTGGAGGGGTTGGTAGGGGGCACAGGCGGCTGCAGAGTGGGTAGTGGGCTAGTAGGCCGGGCTGCAGAAGCTTTTGGGAGTGAAGGCTTAGATGAAAGACTCAAGAAATCATGTTTTTGATCTCCCGCAGTCTCACAGACAGTTGGACCACTAGTTTACCAATCAGACTGTCAGCTGAAAATGATAGATTCTGAACCATGCCCAGTCTAACACAGTCTTTTTTATCTCTTCACTGTTTTTCTCATTTCACCTCTTCTCCCTTTGCACCACTCACTCTCCCACTCCATGTCCTCGAGATGCCCCTGAATCTTCAAAACTGTCTGTCTGCCCATATCCTTTCTATGCCTTCACATCTGACTCGGTCTCTCTTCTCTATACTTCATTTATTCATATCTGCCTAAAATCTGTGTCTTCACCTTTTACTCACCCTGCTCATTTAAACAGCCCTCTAACTGTTTTCATTCATTTTTTTCTTTATTTCCATTCTCTCTTTGCCTTAGACTGACTTCTCTCTATATACCCTTTATTTCACCCCGCTGCCTGTCCTTGCCTTTTTATGTACCCTTGCCTTTTCCATTTTCCACTCTCTTTCATCCAATCGTTCTATCTCTTTTACTTATCTTCTTTTATTTCATTTCACTATTTCTCCCATTTGTCTCTGCATATCTATTCACCCTCCCACTATTCCTTGGACCTTGTATTTCTCTTATTGGTTTTGGTTATTTTTTGGACTCTTTCATCCAATTTCTCTGTCTTTTCTACCTGTCTCAGTTCCTCCACTGATCCAGCCATTTGACTTTCCTCCGACTTCCATCGGTAAATTGATGTACATTGCCTGCGTGGTGTCGTCTGGGGACATGCCCATACGCATCACATGGCGCAAGGACGGCCAGGAGATCGTGCCCTCTTCGGGCATTACTATTGACACGAAGGAGTTCATGAGCTCCCTCCAGATATCGAAGGTGTCGCTCAAGCACAATGGCAACTACACCTGCATTGCCAGCAATGATGCTGCCACTGTCAGCACAGAGAGGCAGCTCACGGTTACAGGTAAGAAAAGAAAGAGCACAAAAGAGAGAATATGAAAGAGATATTTAGAAAGGGATGAAGGAGAAATGGAGGAAAAAGGAGCACTTTGGAGATTTGGTATTCCACTTGAATAAAGATGGAGGACCTGGATGATAGAAATAAAAATGGTCAAAAATCAAACAGCAGAAGTGATTTTGCACTGGATCCTTAACTTCTAATTTTGATATTCCAATACCTTTTTGGTTTAATGCCAAATTTTTCAAAACACAACACAACACAAAAAAGATAAGATTTTTAAAGTATTACAGGACATCTCCACATCCCTCAAATAACATTTGATTTTTCTCTCTTTAATTATCAGCACATTAACACTCGAAGAAAGGGTTATTTTTTGCGAAGTCTATGTCACCTCAGACAAAGCCTTTTTTTGAACAACTTGAAATATTAAGGTAAAAAGTGTAACCTGCACGATGAGAGGATGCAGGGATACTTTTAAACGGTGACTGAATAGTTTGATGAGTTTAAAATGTATATGAATTACATTCCATGGCCTTTGCAGTCTCATTTCAGTTGATTAACTTGTTAAACAGTGCTCTCCATCATCATCAACTATCAAAATTTCAACTGAGGATAACTCTTAGTATATGTTGTTTTTTTTTTATTCATACTCATCTCCATTTCCTCACTAAACATTAGAGGTTATTGAAATAATAACAGAAATATGAATCTCGTGTTTAATATTCTCCAGTGCCTCCTCGGTTTGTGGTGCAGCCCAATAACCAGGATGGGATCTATGGGAAGTCAGCTATCCTGAACTGTTCTGTTGATGGATACCCTCCTCCTAAGGTCATGTGGAAGCATGCCAAAGGTGCATTAGGTACATGAGTTTTATACGATCCTAAATTCTTTATTTATGTACTGTGATGTGCCTCCGTCAGCTGTTCTCTGCACATTGTCATATCTATTCTGTGCAAAGTAAAATGCATATGCCGGCAGTTAACTACATCATAATCTCATGTTCCTTTGCTCACTCTCTCTCTGTCCAGCGGGTATTGGGAACCCACAGCAGTACCACCCTGTGCCTCTGACGGGCCGTATTCAGATCATGAATAATGGCTCTTTACTTATCAGACATGTCCTGGAAGAGGATCGGGGCTTCTACCTCTGTCAGGCCTCCAACGGCGTGGGCTCAGACATCAGCAAAAGCATGGTCCTCACAGTTAAGAGTGAGTATACAAACTTGCACTGGTTAATGTAGCAGGGTATGACTTCTTCGCTACGCAGACGACTGCAGTGAGGCCATCTGGGATGCTCCAGCACTCCCTCTTTATCGGTCCTCATCCACATGCACTCACTAACCGTGTCAAACCAATGAGCCAGCTCGCAACACTCTCTCTTTGGGCTCAACCGTACGCGCACATACATGCACCATCGTAGACTCGAAGAGCAAAGGTGACTGTGGACATAAGTGAAAAAACATGAGGTATAGAATGAAAAAAAAGTGTGTGTGTGTATCTGCGGTAGACATTGACAAAGCAAGCAACTCAGCGATTGATCTTTTGACTCTCGGGATCTGTCTACAGACGATCAAAATGACTTTGAGCTTAACCATTATCTGCAATCAATCTCTTCAACCTGCCCTCGATGTCAGTAACACCCTATGTAATGCAATGTGAAACTCCACATGGAGAATGTGTATGCAAACACACACAGACACATTGACTGTCAGTATCTAGTAGAGCGTTATATGATGCCAATATATTTTTTACTATGCAGTACACTGACCTTGACCAAAAATCTGTAATCACGACAGAGATGTCAAGGCTTAATATTCTGGCACCCTTTGACACTTGTACACGCAGACACATATAACAAGCTGCACATAAATCTATCTACTAGTTTCATCATGTTTTTCTATCACAGGGTTGCCCCTCTCCCTCTCTCTCCCTTTCACTTTCTCTCTCCCCTTCTGGTGTTAGTGTTATTGATTGAACCGTTCCTCTCCTCTGCCTCCCTCAATTCTGTCTGTTTCACTCAGCGGAGAGGGAGGAAAAGAGGAAAAGAGGGAGGGTGAGATGAATAAGTGATGAAAACAAAACAGCAGAAGCCTCCTCAGATCGATATTTTGTGTGTGTAAATGAGTGCGTGTGCCCGTGTGTCTGTTGGGGAGAGAAGATTGAGTGTGTAAAGGGATTTTGTGTATAGAGTGTACACGAAAGGTAGAGTGTATCGTTTTTGCCTCTTCATTCACCTAGACCCCAGTGTTAACTATTGGGGAATGAGGAAGGAGGTTTATTGACTTTACCTCATTGACCACAGCTCTTCATTACTTTACTGCAATGGAACTTGGCTACTCTGAACTCCACCTTTTTCAACTGCCAGTTATCCCACCTTTCTCCTCTCTGCTATTTCCCTTCTTTCTGCTTTTCCACTTAAACCCTGCTTATTATCCACTTACTCTTTCTTTTCCTTCCTCCCTCTCCCCTCTTTTATCTGCTTCTGTCATCTGACATCCCTCTCATCAATCTGTTTACTGTTACCATTTCTGCCTGCTTCACCCCATTTATTCTTGCCTTCTCTTCATCTCACACTCCATTTCCCGTCTCCTTCCAGTCCCAGCAATGATCACCAGTCACCCCAACACCACCATGGCTAAGAAGGGTCACTTGAAGGAGTTGAACTGCACAGCCAGGGGAGAATGGCCCATCATCATCCGCTGGGAAAGGGGTGACACCGTCATCGACCCCGATCGCAACCCCCGATACTCCATTACCACCAGTCCCAATGAAAAGACTGATGAGGTGCTGTCAACACTCAAGGTAAAAAAAAAAAAGACTTATATATAGTAGAAGATCTAGATCATTTCTGATGAAATGAGACATTAATGTCTCACCGACTCTTATTCAGTTGACAGATGCATGAGCTTTAAATCTTTTCTTTTGATTTACTTTTTCACACCCAGACTACTACCCTGAATTTTTCAACATATTACCCGACAGCATTGTACGTGTGAACACTAATGACAGAATACAAGATTAGATATACTTTATTATCCCAGATTCAAAACAGAAATTCTAATTCTCAATATCTCTATGTCTTAATTTTCCTCTAACATACCGTGGCAGTCATAGCAGCCACGGGTTGTCTCCTAATTCATTTAAAACGGAAATTCTCCACTGGCCAGGCTCAAATGAAAGCACGGAGCTTCTTTAGCCTGCTGATGCCATGTTTTTCAGATATTAACAAAAGGTAATGGAGGGAGACGCATAAATGAGGAGCAACTTTGTGTTCACTGAATTCAGAGAGTGTCACAACCTCAGCGATGATCAAGTGTTTTGTATGTTTTGTCGGTGTATGTGTACCTCACACACCAACCAAATGTTTTTTAGGCAAAAACTAATTCTTGGCACTCAAACTGCAGTGGGTGCCGAGTGTACAGGTGTCTGTTACACCTTTCAGTGAGGTGAACAGAGTCGCCTAAATACCAAACAAAACATGGTCAAGCAAAAACTTTCACCGAGGCGCTTCTTCATCACAAAGCTTTGCACAATTTGTCTATGCAGACATAGAGTTGTTTCTCTCGTTGACATTTTTTTCTTTGTGCCTTTCTCACTTGAGCTCAAGCCAGCAGAGCGTGAGGATTCAGTCTTCTTCTCTTGTCATGCCATCAACTCTTACGGAGAGGGACGAGGCCTTATCCAGCTCACTGTGCAAGGTAAGCGTCCATGTGCAAAAGCATGTACTGTACCATCCTCACTTTAATACCATAAAAGCTACAAAACTACGCTCTTCTTTCTTCACCTTTGAACTTGTCTTTCATGTGGTCCTTTTTTCCCTCCTTTTTCTTGCCTCCTTTTGTTCACTTTGTCTAATTTTAAACCTCAGAGCCTCCAGACCCTCCAGAGCTAGAGGTGCGAGAAGTGAAAGATCGTAGCATGAATCTCAGGTGGACACAGAGATTTGATGGGAACAGCGTAATTACATCATACGATATCGAATACAAGAACAAAACAGGTGAGTAAAAGTCAAGTCGGTGATTTATTTTATTAAAGTATTGCAAAAGACCCTAAAAGTAGCAGTATATTCTACACTGAAAATTGCTAGGTTGTTTGTGCTTGTTTTATTTGAGCCTCTTTATTTGAAGCTATTTTAAACTGAATGCCAATAGCATTCCCAACTTCCCATGTCCATCCAAAGTGTTGAAGTAGTAAAATGTGTTATTTTTTCCTGTTTTGTCAGATTCCTGGGAACTAAAGCATGCCACCCGAAATATCTCTCCAACCAACAACCAGGCCAACATAGTGGATCTTCATCCTGCATCTGTCTACAGTATCCGCATGTACTCCTACAATGCTATAGGCAAAAGCGAGGCTAGTAAGGAACTCACTATCAGCACAGAGGAAGCACGTAAGTCTTTTGACAGCACTGCTTTCTACTCGCATGAATGTAGGCAAATATTTTATTTTTTGCTTGTTGTATGAGCAATTAGCGTTTGAATCTGTTATGACTCTGACATCTGTCCTTGACTAATCATTTTGAATGCTAGTCTCAATAAAACTGAAAGAAACCTCTTTTGATCTAAATATTCAAGAAAAAGTACGAAACGTGGAAATGTTAATGTTGCATAATGTTTTTCTGACATTAGTGCAATGCCTCCACTCAGTCCCATTGTCTCTCTTGTTATAGAGCCTGATGGTCCTCCAATGGATGTCATCCTGCAGCCTGTGACATCTCAGAGTATCAGGGTCACATGGAAGGTAATGCATTTCAAGGATCTGTCTCCTGACCAGCTTTGCCTTATATTATTTTATCATTATTTCTTCAGATTAACTTATTTTTCATCTTAATGTATGTGTGGAGGTGTCAATGTCATTACACAATCTAGCAATATGAATATTGATTCTAATGTGAGAACATTTTTTCAAATGGAAACCTTTAGGCTCCAAGGAAGGAGCTGCAGAACGGTGTCATCCGCGGTTACCAAATCGGTTACAGAGAAAATGGCCCAGGTAGTAATGGGCAGTACAGCATCGTGGAGATGAAGGCCACTGGAGACAGTGAGGTCTACACACTGGACAACCTGAAGAAGTTTGCCCAGTATGGGGTGGTTGTCCAAGCTTTCAACAGAGCAGGCACAGGACCTTCCAGCTCAGAGATCAATGCTACAACACTAGAAGATGGTGAGCAATACACAACTGTGTCAACATACGTGTAAAGGGATTGTAGGACAGTCTGTAGGACTGTATAATAAGGTAAATGTTGGCTACCTTTATGACCTGTAGCAATATTGGAACAAATAAAACAAATAAGTGCAAATGTGCAGTGGAAAAGGACAAAGTCAGTCATATGAAATATCAGCCTCTGCACTATTTCTCATGCCATTGTACTTTTTGCTTTTGCAGTCTGGTCTCTTTCAAATCATGCCATGCTGTATAACCTCAAATTACTACATTCGCTCTGTTGCCTCAGCAAGAATGAATATTGGCTGTTGAAATTCCAATCCCTTATAAATACCATCTACACAGATAACCTCTGTGATTCATGTAAAGTGAGTGTAGACAGAGTGTATATACTGCAATACGTCCCGATCATTATTGGGTAGAAGAGTTAATGCTGAATGGATGAATGACTAAAACACAAAAAGCACTTAGAGAGCAAAACCCTCTTCTTAGGCTGGAAAGTGTTGCACAAGATTCATAGTTTACCAAACAAACACATTAGAGATTTGTTGATACTTTTGGGGGGGAAACAACTGATGACAAAAATTGACCAACAAAAAGACAAAAATGTGCAACACGAGCTTAAAAGCAGTTTGGGAAAGATGGAAGAGGTTGGTGTAGTAAACTGATGGCACAATCACAATAGAGCAATGAATCCTTGTCCTTGTTTATTGTCCTGTGATTGAATTTGATCCATTTAGCTTTTCAACCTGACATTCAAGGGCTAAACTTTATATTGCAAGGGCAGACACCTTCTTAAAAAAATTCTTTTATCATTTATTTATGAATTATTTTTTTTTATATTAAGCATTGGTTTCTATGCCGACTGTATTGACTTTTGGCTGCTGATAAAACAAATGAAAGTCACGACAAGTTGACAGTTGTTATACTCATAATTAGCATTATGGCAGTCACTATTTAGGTAGGCAAATCATATCCTGCTATATCATCTTTTTGACCATAATTAAAAAAAAGTTAAACACCACATCAAATTAAATTAAGATATGCAATTAAGATCAAACTGTTTACTGACAACATACAAGGTGAAGTATTATAATTTTCTTATAGACATCTATACGGACTTCTTTTCGCTTTTATCCATTCGAAAGAATTAAGGTTGATGCATTGCCTCCAGTTTTTGGACTAGGCGGCTGCATCTGTCGCACTTCTTGTGTTCTCATTTGTCTTTTCTCACTCTTTGTTTCTTTAGCATTGGGCAGTTCATCTTCATGCTAAATGCAGACAGCCATCTTTGTTACATACTATCTCTCTCAATCTCCGTTTATCTACATTTGCATGTTTGTACCACGTACAAACAAACACACATACACCAATCACATACACATTCGTCCTTCCAGTGAACAGTTGGCTTAGCCTCATTGGTCTAGAAGAGACAGAGCCCTCCAGTTCTTTCCTGTGGCTGTCACCGTGGCGACAGTGATATTGATGGCCATTATGATAATAGTGATAACAACAAGCATACTAAAAATAATTATAATTAGCTTGTCTCTCTGTTTGTCTCTCTCTCTTTCCCTGTGCTAGCTTCCTGCTGTAATTATCCACAGCTGAGCGCATTGTCTCCCTGATCCCTCTTTTCATCTTTTTCTGCCCTTCCCTTGCTCCCCTTGCTTTTAACTCTCTTCCTCCCTTCTTCCTCTGCCCATCACCCGCGTGTCCTCCTCCCTATAGCCCGAGTTCATCATTGTTATTTTCCCCAAATTAATGCAGTCATTTATGTAAGGTTTATTTTGTTCATTTGTTTTGTTTTTTTATTTTAAAATATCTGTATAAGCAAGCCCTATTAGAGACACCCATTTGAACCCACTAACCTTCTTGATCACATTTTTAGTCTTATTTTGCTTCTGGTAAAGGTGGGAATGGGGTTGTGTTTGGTTGCATTCTCATTATTTGGATATGGAAGCTAAAGTTTTTATTCATGCAAAACCATGTTTTAGTTTTCTGATCCTCCTTTCTCCTTTCCCTCCAGTCCTCCATCCTCCTCCCTCCTCCTTTCTCTTCACCAGCTGCAGAGAAATTCCCTGGTGGACTTGGCCCAATCCTTCTCTTTCATTACACTGTCTTTCAGTCAGCACTCTTCCTCTCTTCCTGCGCTTCCTTCTCTCACAAGTTGACTTCTGTTCATCTTCAACAGTGGTCTTTATTCAAAGCCTGAATGACTCGTGGTCAGTGGTAGCCAATAGAAAGGACACCTGGACTGGCAGAGACAGAGGGAGGCTTGTACAGAGAAAGAGAAATGGTCCTATACATCAGGCTTGACACATGGCATGGCCTTTCATCTATCACCTGTTTACTCACTTTAAGTTTGATATGGAAATGTATTTTAGAGTTTCAGGAAGGTCTGTTAATAGATTTATTAATAAACTAAACTAACTACCAAAGTCATATCTTTATTTAAAAATAATCTGCACAATGTTTAACTTCAGGCTGCAGATACCCCTGAAAACTCAATATCCATATAACCTCAATGAACTTTACAAATCTAATGGCGACACTGGTTTTTCAAAATAGTTGAACTGAAAAATATATGAAATATATTTTTCAAAACATAAAAAAAAATTCCCCGCTCGCCCCTGCGGGCAGTCAATCCTTCATCTTGGGTCCTCTACCAGAGGCCTGGGAGCTTGAGGGTCCTGTGCAGTATCTTAGCTGTTCCTAGGACTGCACTCTTCTGGACAGAGAGCTCCGATGTTGTTCCTGGGATCTGCTGGAGCCACTCGCCTAGCTTGGGAGTCACCGCACCTAGTGCTCCGATTACCACTGGGACCACTGTTACCTTCAGCCTCCACAACTTCTCGAGCTCTTCTCTGAGCCCTTGATATTTCTTGAGCTTCTTGTGTTCCTTCTTTCTGATGTTTCTGTCATTCTTGACCGCTACATCAATTACTACGGCCATCTTCTTCTGTTTCTCTACCAACACTATGTCCGGTTGGTTAGCCACCACCATTTTGTCCGTCTGTATCTGGAAGTCCCACAGGATCTTAGCTCGGTCATTCTCCACCACCCTTGGGGGCATCTCCCATTTTGACCTCGGGACTTCCAGGTTATACTTGGCACAGATGTTCCTGTACACTATGCCGGCCACTTGGTTATGGCGCTCCATGTATGCCCTGCCTGCTAGCATCTTGCACCCTGCTGTTATGAAACATATATATGTATGTATGTATGTATGTATGTATATATATATATATATATATATATATATATATATACACACACAAGTTCAAAAATCTACATCTCCATTAGCTTTCTTAAGTTCATTGAGCACTGTGGCATTTGGACAGAAAGCATGGAATGAAAATAAGTTAAGCAATATGATTTTTTCAGGGAAAAAAGTGTTTATTCATGCTGTTACAGTGGCCTTTATTTAAGTCAAACTCAACTTGGTTTATGGTTACTCCATAAAATAAAATGTGAAATTTGTGTTGTGAAGGACATGAATTATTTTTCAGTTTCTGAACTGGGACATGACAACAAAAGTTTTAGAACCGCTCCCCTAATGTAATCCAGTTCCACAGCATGGAAAGAAATCTATCTTCTAATGATAAACCACATATTTAAGAGTAAATAATTCCTGGATTTTCCGCATTTTATCTTTGTAGTGCAATCAGTCAAATTAGTTGTTTTTCCAACATTCAATGATCAGACCTTCATTACTGAAAAGGTGCACTACATATTTAAATACCTGACGATTCACAGCTTGGATAACTCATCTGACCTTTTGTCCTCTGTCTTTGTCTTTAGTACCCAGTCAGCCTCCTCAGAATGTGCGAGCCATTTCTGTAACATCTGACGAAGCAGTTATCACATGGGCTGAGCCTCCAAGACTGACACTTCACGGTGTATTGAAGGGATATCGTGTTGTTTTTTGGGCTGTTTTCCCAGACGGAGGTGTGTTGAGTTTGTCTTGTTATATCCAGGTTAAATTGCGATCACTAAATGTCTCAGGTTTGCATTCTAATCTTCTCTCTGTCCTATTGTCTAACAGAGTGGGGTGAAATGCAGAACATCACAACCACCAAAGAGCAAGTGGAGCTGAGAGGCCTTGAAAAGTTTACTAACTACAGCATCCAAGTGCTGGCCTACACCCAGGCTGGGGATGGCGTCCGGAGCAACGTCCTTTATATCCAAACCCGTGAGGACTGTGAGTCTGTATTTTACTAGCTCTGACCAAACAGATAAACTAAGTGAAGAACTGACCTCCAGTCAGGAGGAGTCATTTACTTTCCTCACATCTTTGGGGCAGGTTTAAGGTTTTTTGTTTCTTTTTCTTGGTTTAGGCAGCAATGTGGGAGGCAGAGAGCCAGCGGGGGTAGAGGGGGTCTTTGTAAGGCTGAGGTTGCTGATTAAAACCTCTTTGTGCTCTGATGTGCCATTACCAGTGCTAATGAGAATTAAGAAGCCAAAAAGTGTGTGTGTGGTTAAGGACCCTAAGGGTGTCAGTCTGTGCATGCGGGTATCTGGAGGTGTGTGTGTGTGGAGATGGGTTGGGGGTTAAGTCTGTCTGTTTGCAGGTGTATATGGCTTTGTGTTGGCGTGCATGCACGAGTGCATGTGTGTGTACATGCGCTATTGTTTGTGTGCAAGTCTACCCTGGCACCCAGCACAAGGAGAGGGATTAATTCTTTGTGGCTTAGAGAGAATTAATTTTGTGCTTACACTGGCGGTGCTGTGGATTACATCCGTATCCGCCTCTCCTCCACCTCCCTGGGGCCAGGCAGAGGAGAAGGCAGGCGTCTGGAGATGAAGAAAATGAGGGAGAGAGGGAGTGCAGGAAAGAGAGGGGAGCAGATGATTCTAAGATGTGTCGTTTCAGAAAAGGCCTTTATTCTCTTTTCACCACCATATCTCCATTTTATGAGCTGGCCCCACTGCAATTGCTATTCAAATATGTCTATTGTGTTAGTCTTTGTGTGTGCGTGTGTGAGAGTGTGCGTGTTTATCAGGGGCAAACTGAGTGTGTCTTTTTTCCCTGATGCGGGTTGACACTGTGTCCAGGGGCAACCTCTTCACAAACGCTCAGCGTTTTCTGTATTTTCCCTTTGCCCTCGGTTCTGGCCGCAGCACATGGAAAAGTGTTTGCTGTGCAATTGTGCAAACAGCCAGTTCTCAGTCTGTCGTTCTCTGCCTCTGTCTCTTATATGAATAAACATAGAAGACAGCAAGCATAAGAATATTGAAGACCGGGATTAATTTTTCAGCCTTATATCTAGGGGACCACAGTATTTGGCTCTTTGAATGTGTGGTTACATGTCTTCATTTGTGGGTTTTATGTTAAAAATACTATTTTGGTATAAATTCCAATGTTGTCAAGTTCTCTCAGGATTTTCTGACCTTTGACTCTAAATGAACTCATATCTCTTAATAATATTTAAGTATTGCACAAATACCTCTCATATTGATAAATCCTAATGTCATATTCTGCTGGTGCTCGGCCAAATACAAATTTCCATCAAAAACAGCCTAATTTCTGGACATCACTGAGTAAGGGAGTTGTTGGTCATATCATACATTGTTGTTATAGATCATGCATTTTTAAATTTTTTGCTCAGTATGAGCCTTAAATGGTGATAGTAAAGAGAGAATAATCATTTTCTCTTTATGGAACTTAAGGCATATTGTCTGTTCTAAATGTATGTAAAGCTACAGGTGTCACTAGTGTCCAAATGAAGACTTTCTCATAAGATGTTGTTTATAATGAAGTGAGGTCTTAAATTAATTAATTCACCAGTAGTTTCATACTTAGTGGGGCTGATGAGGAGAAATCTTTATTTGGGAAGAGGTTGAGGACTACAGTCATGTAGCATAAGGCCTTTTTTAGGGCTTTATAAATGATAATAAAGAACCAATAGATTTTTAGAATGTATAATAATACACTACTATATGCAGGCCAGTATGCATATAGAGCAGCTGGTATACTGCTAGTCATGTTCTTAACATCATTATCTGTGCTCTATTAAATGGCAGAAAATACTGAAATATTCCTTTTGTATTTTCCCATAAGCCAGGCTATTGATCACTGGAGTTCTCTCTCTAATATTGTAGGGTTTTACCTAATAATATTAACAAGCGCTTCGAGATAGCTGTTATTATGATGTGTAAAAGAAAGTTGAATTGAATTTCTGACTGCTTGTTTTGTCAAACTAATAGTCTAAAACCCAAAGATGTTCAATTTACTGCAAATAATAAAGATGAAAGGGAAAACTACTTCCCGTTTACTGTAACCACATTGAAATATAAGTGGTTCACATTTTACTCAGCCCTCCATTTCTTTCTTTTTAGACCCTGGACCCCCAGCTGGCATCAAAGCTGTGCCCTCCTCTGCCAGCAGTGTCGTAGTGTCGTGGTTGCCCCCTCACAAGCCAAATGGAATCATCCGCAAGTACACCATTTACTGCTCCAGCCCCGGGTCAGGCCAACCGGTAAGTTACAAGAGGGGCGCAGAGAGTTTCACGATAAACAAATGAATTAAAGTGGAAAAGTGAAGGGGACAAGACCCTATTTTCTATGCAGAAAATAGCTTCTGTTAAACATTTTATATGTTGCTGAGATAAAACTCATTTGACTTAATTACAGCATTTGCGTGTGTGTGTGTGTGTGTGTGTGTGTGTGTGTGTGTAGGTGTGTGTGTTGGGGTGTGTTTTTGTGTGTGGTCTAGTGCTGCAGTCTCAGCGAGATACGTGTGTGAAATGAGCTCTCCTCATTCTGCAGTGTGTGTGCGTGCAAACTCACCCTCCAGCCTCATTTACATATCTGCGTCTCATCACGTTGCCAGGACAACCTCATCTGTTCATCAACGAGGGCAGAAAACAAGCCAAGAGCAAATACACACTCTAGCTTAGACGCACACACACACACACACACACACACATACGCACACAGAAACGCACTCATAAATGTATTACATGAGCGATATAGAGGTACATACATATATGCAACTCATGTTTCTATAACAGTGTGAATTTAAAGCAAGAAATATAACCTGCTTGCAATCTTGAACACACACACGCATGCATACACATGTACTATATAAATGTTCCCTTTGAGAAATTTACATCTTTTCCTTAATGTCCTTCATTCATAAATCACTCACACGTTATATCTATCTATCTATCTATCTATCTATCTATCTATCTATCTATCTATCTATCTATCTATCTATCTATCTATCTATCTATCTATCTATCTATCTATCTATCTATCTATCTCTTTCTGAAGCCCCCATGCAGAGTTCGGCATGATTACTATGTAAATGAGTGCGACTGGAGAGAAGGAAGGAGGGATGGGGGGGTCAGACACACCGCGCGGGGAGTACTTTTGTTCCTCTTTTCATTATCTCGCTCTATCGTTCCCCGGATCACCGCTATTTCCATGCCGGAGGAATATTTTAATATCCGTTACAGCAACACACACTCTGTCACTCTTCCCTCCCTCCCTTCCTCCTAGCATCTACCCACCCACCCATACATCCATCCCACCCTCTATCTATCCATCTCTCCATCCATGCTTCAGCTTGCAGTGGAGAGTATAGAGACAAATGTGCAGAAGAAGATATTGATGCGTATGTGAGAGTAGGGCGGGGGGCTAAAACAATGTAAAATAGAAGGGGGGGGGGGGGGGGGTATATTGGTGGATAGATGCAGGAAAAAGCAAGGAGTGGGCCCACAGATGACAGACAAATGTAAAGATAAAGAAATGAAGAACAGTGATGGCATCGGGGGTGCACAGAAGGATGGTGCAGTGGGGTGAAGAATAGTCGGAGAGAAAAATAGAGAGAGCGTCACAGGCAAGAGGAATGGATGATGAACAGGGAACATAGTGAAGTAATAAAAAGCTCAGTGGATTCCTTCATGGCAACCTGCTCATAAATGTGAAAAACAACATGAATACTGGAATCTGTTTGCACAGAATAAACCGTTCTGCAGACAACAACCCAGCAGGCTAGGACAGAGCTCAGTAACGCTGCAGTGTCTTCGCAGGTTTTACTGGTCTGGCACATTCGCTGACTGTTCATGCTATCTGACACTTGTATCGCAGTCTTCATTTCATCCGTGTATGTGTGCCTGTCAGTCACAAATGTAAGACGGTGTCAAGCTTGGGTGTAGTAAAATATGATTTAGAGGGTGCCGAGTGAATGTTAGGTGCTGCCTTACAGTGCAGTGTATGTGTGTGTGTTGAATTTTTGATTTTTGATTGTTTCTTTCTTTCTTTTTTTTTTTCCATACTATTTATTACTTGAGGCCAGCAGCACAGCAACAGCCAGAGTTGCAGGTGTGTGTATATATAGCTGACTGCTGGGATACCTGAGGAGTAGGTGAAGAGTAGGAGTTGAGGAAATACAGGTATAATTGGTGGGTAGGTGAATAGCGATTGGCAGGCAGTAAAAATGAAAGATTCTGTGTGTGTGTGTGTGTGTGTGTGTGTGTGTGTGTGTGTGTGTGTGTGTGTGTGTGTGTGTGTGTGTGTGTGTGTGTGTGTGTTAAGGGGACAGTGATGCGTATATGTCTAGACAGGAGACACATGGCTGGGTTAAACACACTGCAATTACACATCCACCTCCAGGTCATGTATGCGGCTCTATGTGTGTGTGTGTGTGTGTGTGCCTGTGTTTCAGTACATTCATGCATATGTATTGGTGTGTATTCATACTGCTTGTGGGTAACCATTCCTCTTCCTCTGTCTGTTTGTGTTACTTTCCTCTCCTCTCCATCACTGCTGATGCCTGCAGTAGATAGGCCTCATTAGTGTATGACTGTTCATGATATCTCTGACTGACTCATTTGTCTGTCCCCTATTGTCTTCCTCTCTCATATCTCTGTTTGCCCTCCCCGAGGAGAACGGAGAAGGCGAGGGAGTGGGATTCACTCCCCCAATCCAACCCTCTCGCCTCTCTCTCCTCAAGCATCGCTTGCCTTCCTTCCCTCCCTCCCTCCAGCGTCATCCTTTCATACCGTTTTGCCTTACCACATTATGATAAGCCTCAGAACCTCTCTAACTTTTAGCCCATCTTAGTCTCTGTTTTACTGATACAAAATGAGGAAGAAAATAATTGGTTCACGTTAAAATGATGTTCACTCAGTTCATCACATCACTCCAGCTTCTCCAAACAATCTTGTATTTGGAATCCCCAAAATTTTATCTTATGCTACCTTGAATATACTTAAAATTTTCGGAGAAATGCTATAAAACATTTTCTTTTTAATTTTGAAAAGGTACCGTTAAAGTGCTACATGTTTCCAAACCAATCCAGACTCTTTTTATTGTAATTGCCCATTTTGTCTCATTGTGCACTTTTTTGGACTTCAAACGACTTTAATTCTTCATAGAGTCAAAAAGGTGCTGGAAACATTCCTCAGAGATTTTGGTGCGTATTGACATAATCACACAGTTGCTGCAGATTTGTCAGCTGCACATCTATGATGTGAATCTCCTGTTCTATCGCTTCCCATAAGTGCTCTATTGGATTGAGATCTGGTGACTGTGGAGGCCAGTCGAGTACAGTGAAACCAGTTTGAGATTATCTGAGCTTTGTGACATGGCACTCTATCCTGCTGGAAGCAGCCATCAGATGATGGGTACACGATGGTCATAAAGGGATGGACACGGTCAACCACAACACTCAGCTAGACTGTGTTGTTAAACGGTACTCAGTTGGTACAAAAGGATAAAAAGTGTGCAAAGAAAATAGCCCGCACCATTACACCATCGCCTTTCCAGTAGATCAGCAGTTTCTGAAATCATCAGACCAGCTTGTCTGGCACCAACAACCATATAACTTTCAGAGTCCCCATTCTGATGCTCACTTTTGAATTTCAGGAGGTCTTCTTGACCATGTCTACATATCTAAATGCATTAAGTTGTGCCATTGGCTGATTAGATAATTGCAGTAAGAGGTAGTCGAACAGTTTTAATCAAGTGAAATGATTTTTCGGACATTATCAAGTTTGTTCTTCCAAATCAACAATGTCTCTTCTCATTTCATTTTTCTCTAGCTCCCAAGTGAGTATGAAGCTAATCCAGAGCTGCTGTTTTATCGAATCACACACCTCAACCACCGCCAGCAGTACCTGATCTGGGCTGCAGCCGTCACCACTGCAGGCCGAGGTAACTTCAGCGAAAAGGTCACTGTGGAGCCAGCTGCCAAAGGTGAGTCCCTCGATATGAAAGGGAGACCCATGATTAGTGGAAGTGCCCACTGTTGATAAAAGACCCTCAAAATTTAAGTTTGATAATTTTATCGAGGTTCAATGCTAAATTTGTGAAGTAATCTTTTGACCGACTTTTGTTTGGTGGAAGAAACAAACAGTGCCCTCTTTTTCCTGTTTATTTTCCCCTGCTTCTGTCCTCTCTCTCAGGAACTATTAGGATACATCCGCTGTTAGAGTGGTGCTGCTCTACAAACCACTCGTTTTCTCTCCGACTATTCTTCACCCCACTGCACCACTCATGAACTAAAAATAAGCATTTTTAAAGGATGTTTTGCTTTACATGCCCCATCATCTTCTTACTGCATTACGTTTGCTATACAATGGAGGAAATAATTATTTGCTCCCCTGCTGAATTTATAAGTTTGCTCACTTACAAAGAAATGAACAGTCTCTAATTTTTATGGAAGTTTTGTTTTAATGAAGAGAGACAAAAAAATCCAGGACAAATGCACATTACATGAAAGTTATACACTGATTTGTCTATAAATTTGTATATATATAAATAAGTAATTGATCCCAGACCCAGCCACACAGACTGGCAAGCCAATCTGTGTGAGCCCGATCTTGCCTCATGGGGTGAGAATAATCATGAGAAAACTACACAGCAGAAGCTTGTTAGTGATCTAAAGGCATTTTGGGACTGCAGTCACCAAGAATACCATTGGTAACACACTACGCCATAAAGGACTGTAATCTTGCTGCACATGTCATGTGTTTTTATTTGATAGTAGATGTGATGTAATTATTCCCAATATTATATTTTCTACTCCACAGCCCCTACTTTCGTTCTTTATTTCTGTGTTACTGCTCGCTTTGACGTTACAGAGGTGCACGATTAATTTTAGAGTTCAGAGGGCACCAGATAAACTGCTCTCATCCAGGGAAATGATAAGAGGGGAGCAACAGAGGTGGGCAGCAGGTGGATGAAAAAAGAGCTGAGCTAACTAATATAGAAGACAATAGAGAGGCAAAGTGTTTAAGAAAATGAAAATGGCAGTTAAATCAATAGGCTTTGGATTAAAGGCCAGGTTGAATAAAGGCGTAAGAATGAATAGAGTGCCTTTTCTTTATCTGTTCATTCCTTTGACTTGGATGCAAAGGTTTGTTAATGTGTGCTCATATTGGAGTGTGCTGCTGATTGGCAGCTGTAATAGACAGTGTCCTCCAGGCTTGCTCACTCAATACTTCATTCAACCTTAACATAAGTGCACCAGAGCACCCTAGCATTAAGACGCCAAGCTTGGGAAAGAAAGCGAGACAGAGAGGGTAGGGGAGTGACAGAGAATAAGAGGGTTATGTGCCTGAATGGAAAGACTTTTTTTTTCATATCCCCTCTTCTCATTCTTTGTATTCTTTATATATATATATATATATATATATGTTCTATTTTTTTCCAGCCAGTGTAACAAATTCTAATGTGAATTATAGGGAGTACACATTTCCTCTCAGTTAATTGTGCTTATTAAAAGAATTCTAGCAAGAAGATAAATCAATGTATGCACATGCATTAACACTGGGATGTATTGGTTCAAAACCAAGTGATTGTTAATTGGATTTGAAAATTATTTGACAACAGCAAATCATCCGATTGGTGCATATTAATTAGTCTATTGCTCAGCTGGTCTTATGGGCTGCTTGAGTGTTAATGCAATTAGCTCTAAAGGTCTTTTTATTAAATTTCTCTGCCTCTATACACCTTTCACTTTTTTCCTCTCCTGCACCAGCCCCAGCTAAAATCCTCTCATTTGGCGGTACCGTGACCACTCCCTGGATGAAAGAGGTGCGACTGCCCTGTAGCTCAGTAGGAGAACCTACACCTACCATAAAATGGACCAAAGACAGGTGAGAATCCACACTAGAAATACTGAAGCAGAGTGTTCTTGCTGCTGTAATTCCTCTGAGAATTGATTACAGACAATTAAGTGCACATGCTAAGGTAATGTGCAGACAGTGTACCTCACTTCTTGCCAATTTCATTTGGGATAGCCTCCAGCTTCATTGCAGTCCTGGTTGGATGAGCCATTAAAAATTATTATGAAAACCTTCAGACTAGAAACTATGCAAAACACCAAGTCAGATCCTAACTTACATCTTAACACAAGTGATCCACCTTAACCAGGAGTGGGCAATTAATTTTCTCCAGGGGCCACGAGAGAAGCTGGGACTGTTGTGGAGGGCCCACCAGTATGGTTATAATGAGATAAAGTTAATATTGAACAGAACTAAGTTTGTCTTATTGCTGCAGCTTTCTACAAAAGTCCCAGTTTCTCTTGTATCCCCTTGGAGTCCATCCTCATGAGTAAAACTAAGACAAAAGAACATATAACGATATAGCAAAAATTAATAAATCATTAACATTGTTAATCAGAGAAATAGATTAGAATTAATTCAATTTTATTAATCTTTTATTATATTAAATAATTTTTATGACCATAGGTGTTTCAAAGTGGCTGCTGATACTTAATTAACCCTAATAATAGACTGAAGGTCCTCTTATCAGTGTCTCTTTCTCTTCAATAGTGAGGACACAGCCATACCAGTTTCTCTAGATGGGCAGCGTCTCATTTTGGCTAATGGGACTCTGGTGCTGCGCTCTGTCAAAGCTGAGGATTCTGGTTACTACACCTGCACAGCCACAAACACACTTGGCTTTGACACTATTATAGTCAACCTTTTGGTGCAAGGTAAGCGAATGGCTATAATGACACACTAGCAAACTTTTTTTACGTAATAAACATTAAGATTTGCCAAAATGAATACATAACTCATCAAAAGTATGTCTTTGATAATATAAGTCATGGTATTATAAGATTCTGTGCCTCGTCCTCAGTACCTCCAGACCAGCCACGTCTAACCGTCTCTACCACCTCCACCTCCTCCATCACTCTGGCTTGGATACCAGGAGACAATGGCGGCAGCTCTATAAGAGGTGCGTAATTTTTCGGAGGAAAGCCGTATATCTGTCTCTCCTCTTGTGTACTCACATTACTTTCCTCTTGTCTATAGCTGACATGTTTGTCGTGCCTCAGCTTGTCTCCTGCCTGGTATTATTGGTAGTGTCTCTATTGACCTATTAGTTTATTGAATGGTGTCTTGGTTTTATGTTTCCCTGTTAATTGTGTGTCTGTTTGATTAGCTGATTATTGATGAGCTGTATGTGAAGATGGCCACAGTGTGCGTGACTGGGTCTCTCCCTTTGGTCAGGCTGTGGCAGTTTAACTTATTACTGCTCTATATGACACACTCAAGCACCATATATGGTTTTGGTAAAGCCGCTATTCTATCTTATGTGATTACAGAATAAATGACAATGAAAACAAACAAATAAAACCAGAGAAATTTCAGTAGATGACATTTAGTAATAGCTTCTTGCAATCAGCACATGAAGGCCTCCAAAACTGAATAGAATATACTCCTTTTGGAAACCGTGCTGCCAGGATGACCCAAGAAAGACTTGCGTGCATGCATTATGCAAAACTGAAACAGGATATAATGCATAAACTTAAACAGCCTCTACTGGATGTGCAGCTTAGTATTCAAATAGGGATGTGCCAGTATTTGCATACAGCATCTAGTCTTATGTGTCCATAAATCTTTTCTGTAGAACTTGTGTGATAGCCTGAAGTCCCGTCGCTAAATCCACCGGCTCATTGTCAGCAATAGTTCCTTGTCACGCACCTGTTTTGCAGTATCACTGCCCTGATGTCTGTATATGATTCCCTTTCAGAAAAAACATGCTAGTGTGCACTAATAAAGCCATTTTCAGCTGGTAATGAGGACTTTTTTCCAGTTTGTGTAAAAATAAAATAATTTCTAAATAGACAAATCGCCAAATGTTGCAGACTGGTCCCATACACTGAGAATCTTATATTATGTACAACAGCAGTCAGTCATAGTGTTCTTCCAGCCTGTTGTTGTGCTGTTCTGTACTGTTCACTGTGCTATCTTCTGTTATGTTCTGCTGTGTCCTCTTCTGTTCTGTGACAGACCGAGGGTGACTATAAAACTTACAGACACTGCTCGATCTGCATGTTAACCCTTTTTAACGTTTTGGACTCCATCGCACCATCTGTTAGAAAAAGAGAGAGAGTAAGGAAATGAAGATGGTACAAAGAGTACAAGGAAACACTCAGAGTGAGACAGTCATATATGCGTAATCATATACAGGCAGAAGGAAAGACAGAGGATTAGATGGAAGGTGTCTCAGAGTGGGAGGGAGTTGGCTCTTCAAGGCAGCTGATTATAAAAACAGTCACCATATTGCATGCCCTCATTTGCATAGATGCTCAGTCAGCGCCATCCCAGTCTTGGGGTTTGTAGGTAACTAATGGCGGCATAGACAGAGAGCAGCTACACCATCCTCCAATTGAGGCTTAACTGGACAAGGGAAGTGCAATCATACATTGCCATCTAGTGGCCAGGAGTGGTACCAATGTCTGAAAGTTCAGTAGACTTTATATTAGTGAGGGATTTGCATCAAACTGAGAAAAAACTATTTTGTGCATGTCTCATTTCTTATGCAGGTTTTGTTCTGCAGTACTCTGTAGACAACACAGAGGAATGGAAAGATGTTTTCATCAGTTCTAGCGAGCGCTCTTTCAAATTGGACAACCTGCGCTGTGGGACCTGGTACAAAGTCAAGCTGGCTGCCAAGAACAGCGTTGGTGCTGGACGTATCAGTGAGATCATTGAGGCAAAGACTCACGGGCGAGGTGAGAAGCTGGCAGAAAAGGACTTTAAACAATATATACAGCAGACAAGTAAAAAAAATATATTTTTACACAATGGAATTATTTTTGAAAAGGGGTTCTAGATAACACTCAGAAAATACAGCAGGTCACATGTGAGGAGGTCAACAAAAAACGTCAACTGAAAGTGTTTAATGCACCTTTAAATGTATCTTTTCCGCAATCTCAAAATTTGGATTGACTTTTGAAAAATGTGAATGAATAGATGATAGATCATGTGTTTTATTACAGGAGGGTTATTTTCTTTCATCTATGCTTCAGTCTATTCAAATGATATCAAATTAGTTTCAATATTAAATATCAGAATTAAAACATTTGATACATTTAATGCTTTTTCATTTACAAATGGCTCCAAAGCAAGGTTACGTGTCATTAGTAAGGCTTTAAATTAATGTACACTGCTCTCAAAATGCAGTGGGAAAGGTTTGTTTTATGGACAGTGATATGACTGACCAGCGGGATGTTTATGCTGTCATTAAACTTCTTATAGTGCAGTCCAGTTTCAAATTTGGTAGTCATTACAAAATGCATATTTAACCTCTCAGAGATTATGCAAACATATTACATACAATACTAAACTTTGCTGCTTCAGTTTTTGCTGTAACTGCATCAATATATTATTTAGTTTATTTAACTGAATGTTGTGTGCAGGTCTGCTGCTGATGACCTGTGTTAACCATATTACCTGTGAAATGCCATTCCAAATATTGTTTTAATATTCTGAGCATATTCTGCATCAAACCGTTGCTGCCTTTACAGAACCCCAGTTCAACAAAGACCAGCCTGTCTTCACCCACATTAACTCCAGCCATGCTCGCCTCAACTTGCAAGGCTGGGCCAGTGGAGGCTGTCCGATCACAGCTGTCACGCTAGAATTTAGACCGAAAGGTGAGTGGTTCCTTTTTCATTTTTCAGTTTTTGGTAATATTGGAGATGTCCTGATATAAATTCAATGGAAAAGTGACCAAACTTAGACACATATATTATTTTTTCTTGAAAAAACGTGATCGTAATTAAGAGTCGTGTGCACTCGTGCAGGCACTTGGACATGGCAGAACGTGCGCACCAACGCCACCACAGATGTGTTCCTGGCAGAGCTGCGTGAGGCCACCTGGTATGAGTTAAAGATGAAAGCTTGTAACAGTGCTGGCTGTGGTAACCAGAGCTCCCAGTTTGCCACTCTAGACTATGATGGCAGTGAGTACAAGATGATCTTCATTTGCCATTTACTTTGGATAAATGGCATTGTTTTAATGAGAAATCCATTAAAATGGGTACCTTATGATATTGTCTTATGAAAGCACATTAAACTGATCTCTACAGGCACAATACCGCCAATTAAATCCCCTCTGGAGAAGAACGACGATGTCAAGAAGCTGTTTTCTATTGGCTGTCCTGTGATCTTGGTCACACTTGGTGTTGCGTTGCTCTTCATCATTCGCAAGAAACGCAAAGAAAAGAGACTAAAGAGACTGAGAGGTGAGAGAAGAAATAAGAAGAGAGGAGATAAGTGGTGAAAATGAGAGAGAATATTACATTCAGCCTGCAGAGCATTTATTCTAAGAATACTTGTTTGTCAAAAAAAAATGAAAAATTAATTATATCCTCTGTTCTCGTTAGATGCCAAAAGCTTAGCAGAGATGCTGATCAGGTAAGACTGGAATGTATTCTCAGCAAATTAAGCTTGAAATATTATTAAGCGTAACCTAAAATCCACTCAAAAATCAACTTTCTTTCCCATTTTCTTCAAACTATGCATGTTTGTGTGTGCTCGTCTTGTATCTATGAATTAGTAAAAACAACCGCAGTTTCGACACCCCGGTTAAAGGGCCTCCTCAGGGCCCACGGCTGCACATCGACATCCCCAGAGTGCAGCTGCTAATTGAGGACAAAGAAGGCATCAAGCAAATCGGTGAGAGGAAGAGAGAGAAAGAGAGACTTGTCGCATATGTTCACACAACTATGCCGAGGACCGAATCGATGACCGTTACATGAAATGCGGTGTTAGGCTAATTGTTATTTTGTTGACACACAATATTTCTGCCTGTCATAGGTGAGGACAAGGCCACTATCCCTGTGACAGACACAGAGTTTAACCAAACTGGGAACCCTCAGAGCTTTTGCACTGGTGTGTCAGTCCATCATCCTGCCCTCATCCAGAACACTGGCCCTTTGATTGACATGTCTGACATCCGGCCAGGAACCAGTATGTGCTTTTACTCCTCACTCTCCATTATATCATTAAATGTTTAACCTTGAATATGTTCATTAAATGCAACATTTCTGCTCAGTTCAATTGAGTTATTAGTATTATTTTTTCATGAATGATTCAAATGTTCTCTGGACCAAAATATGAAGACCAATCTTTCTTATTTTTAAATTCTTGTTGATTTATTCCGGCTGTGAACATCCAACCCTTCTTATTTCTTCATCCATTTACCATCAGATCCAGTGTCAAGGAAGAGTGTTAAGTCAGCCCACAGCATCAGGAACCGCTACTCTAGTCAGTGGACTCTGACCAAGTGCCAGGCCTCTACGCCAGCCCGTACTCTCACCTCAGACTGGCGCACAGTTGGCTCCCAGCATGGCATCACTGTCACAGAGAGTGACAGCTACAGTGCCAGCCTCTCGCAGGACACAGGTTAGTACATGGGTGAAATGACACTTACAGCCATTAGCATGTACATACAATTAAGGCTATTTATCTGCAGGAAGCAAATGTGATTTTGCAGTAGGCTATGAAAGGGGCTTGCCTTCATTTCCTTTCCTTATTTTTTTGAACAGATAAAGGGCGCAACAGCATGGTGTCAACAGAGAGTGCCTCCTCCACCTACGAGGAGCTGGCAAGAGCATATGAGCATGCCAAGCTGGAGGAACACCTGCAACATGCTAAATTTGAGATTACAGAGTGCTTTATTTCTGACAGCTCATCTGATCAGATGACTACAGGTACCAACGACAATGCAGACAGCATGACGTCCATGAGCACACCGTCAGAGCCCGGCATCTGCCGTTTTACTGCCTCGCCACCTAAACCCCAAGACTATGACCGTGGCAAGAATGTAGCTGTTCCCATTCCGCATCGCGCCAAGAGTGAGTTGTCACCTCTAAGCATGATTCTTTTTTGTCTGTTAGGATTTTTAATATGAAAACAAATTTAAAAAGTATGGCCAAAGGCTTAAAATTGTATTGTGAAAATCAGACTTCATGTAAGTAAATGTTTTCTGTAAATAACTCAAACAAACTGTAGATAGTATGCATGTATTCTGATTATTAGATGAGTTTATAGCAATTATTGTGGTGCACAGTATACTATCCATTATATCCTATAAGCTTGTGCAGTGATGAGAAATTTTACTTTTCCCTTCCAGGTGACTACTGCAACCTACCCCTCTACATGAAGTCAGACCCCTTTTTTCGAAAGCAGGCAGAGCGTCATGACCCGTGTCCAGTGGTCCCACCACGTGAAGCCTCTATTCGTGGCCTGGCCCAACGTGCATACCACACCCAGGGCCGTCATGTGACTATGGACTCTGCAAAACAGCAGGCCCTAACCATGGGCCACTCTGGTCTGTCCAATCTCACATCCTCTGGGGCTTCCTCGGGAGGGGCAACAGGAGGCGGTGGTTGTGGCAGTGGGAGTGGAGGGGCATCTGCTAGCTCTAGCAGCTCCACACTTCCCCAGAGAACTCTCACAATGCCTGGCTCCTCTGCTGCAGGAGCCCAGAGTGCAGCGGCAGCTGCTGCTTCTGCTGCGGCTTCTGGGGCATCATCATCCTCCGGTGGAGGTGGGGCAGTAGGGGCCACAGGAGGGACCCCTGGAGGTGCATCTTCATCTTCCTCCAAGATGGGAGGATCCAGAGACTCTCTCCTGGAGAGCAGCTCCTCGGGCTTAGGCAGACTACAGAAGCAAAGGGATGGAGGGGCGGGGGCCTACTCCAAGTCCTACACACTGGTGTAGCCTGTCATCACTGCGGCCTGTCACTGTAACTCTTCATTGAATGCTGGTCAAGCCATCGCTTGCCTAGAGCCTCTATGAAAAATTGGGGTGAGAAACATACAGATGCACAGCTTACCTGTCAGTGCCTGTGCTGTGCCAGGCTGCAGGGGGCTGGTTGGGTTCCCACTGACAATATTATATGATGGGGTCAGAGTTGGGTCTCCACAGCACAGGGGTTTGCCTTTCTTTCTGCCTGATTGCTTTCTGTTATTATTGTGTCATTTTTATCTCTTACTTCATCACCCTGGGAAACACCTTTGCCAAAACATAGATGATTTATTCACATTTGTTAACTCTATATTTTGATTTTCTGGCAAAGACACAGTACTTATGCACAAAATGCTTTCCACGTGCACTGTCTTGTTTTCTGGATCAAGACAGCTGTAGAATGAACCAGGTTGCTTGAGTTTCAGAGAGATGTGTATTAAGATTTTTAGGTTTTTAAAAATGTTGCTTTTTTGGCCTCTGATGGAAAGGAGCTCATATCACAGCATTGTGCCATGGCAGGATGCTTTATTGTATGCATTAACCACCAACCTTGGTGTTACACTGGCTCTGAAAGATTACTCCATCGTGGATTCGTACATTAGAGGCAATGGATGGACCGTCGTCTCAATATCAGATTTGAGACAAAGGGATTTTCATATACATGCAATGGATGATACAGCATAGTGGTCTTAATTGATGCTTTTCTAAACAGACTCAAAGCAGAGAAGATGGGGAAAAAAATTCAAGCATCATAAAGTGCAAGATGAATCCAACCTTTTTCTTTTAAATCAGTTTTCTGTTTATTTTCAGATGATGGAAATATAATCTCATGTGCACTAAGAGAAAATTAGAATGGATCCAAGTAACAGAAACCTTCAACAGCCTGCGTGCGTGCGTGTGTGTGTGTGTGTGTGCGCGCGCGCGCGTGCAAGCGTGTTTGCGCGGGTGTATATGTGTGTATATAAATGTATGCATGTGGCAGGCACACCAACGATGGACCTTTTTAAAATCAGTCTGTATGCTGACCTCTTGGGCAGACATCTGTGTCAAAACTGACAAATGTTCATTTTGTACCTGTGAAAGGGGATAATGGGTCGATGCTGATGATGTAACGCAACGACCCTAATTTGGTCCAGCATTTTGAACTTTGTTTTGGATTGACGACATGGCTTAGGAAATGAAAAACACAGGAAAAGAAGTGGGTTCAGAAGAGAGCTATTACAGATTATAAGAACTAGGTCCCTCTTTTTCTCTTAAACTTCCTCAAGAAGGAAGCGACCATTATATGATTCATCATGGCGCCACAATATCCATTATGTTTTTTGTTTTAAGCCATTTTACCTGTGCCCTTTTCCTCCCTTTCTGTCCTTTCCCACTTTCACCTTTACCCACCCGGTCCATCATCATATCCATACAGTGTCACTGTGATCTACTGCTAGCTTACTGGCAGGTCAAAGAGACAGACTGACTGAGAGAAGAGGTCTAATATGCACAGACGGGCAGAAATGCTATTTGATGTGTAGTGTCAGCTTGAATGAGAAGCAAGTCGCAGCAGATTTATGGAGATTTATGAAGAAAAATCATATTTGCATAATCTTGAATTTATAAACAGACAGTAATGTTTAAGAGTATAATCAGAGGGATCGAGCGTCAATATAATGTGAAGTAGCAGAGAGATTTTTCTTCAAAAATAAGTGGTCTTTGAAACTAAAAGGAGTATTTTCAAGTCCCTCCACCTTGCTGAAATTATTTTTAGCTTTATGCATGGTACTGTATCTTTTTTTTATTATTACTATTAGTTCTTCTCCCAAAGCTTAATCCCATAACAAAGATCGTTCCAAAAAAAAAAGAAGAGTTGCTCCACATGTTTTTCAGTGGTCGAACATAACATCAGGGCTCTCGCAATAGAAAAAAGAAAAAGATATATGTTTGTTTTCAAAAGTATGTACATATATATTTCTATTCAAATATATAGCAAATATATGAATATTGAAAAAAATGCAGAGAAATATAAAAGCCGTTCTAATTGAAAATATATATAAAAGATCACAAGACAATCGCTCAGAGTGAAAAAAATTGCCAGAAGAGAAGAAGGAAAAAGAAGAGGGAAGTTTAAACGGGTAGCACAACCATGGGCAGAAGATCTTAGAGCGAAAGGAAGTTGTGTGAAAGAAAATTAAGTGGTGAAACTAAGGTTTGAACCCCTTGTGATTTTGTAAATGTTCAAAGCTGTACCGCCTGTGCAGCAGGTAGCAGCTGAAAGGACAAGCACAGTAAAGTCAAATTATAGTGTGAGATTGTGTCGCTGGTTAACTGTGGTTTATGGCTCAGTGCAGAAAGTGTGGTGTTGAAAAAGAAAACAGTATAACGAGGACAGTCTATACAGTGAGAATCTTGTATTATGTTGTATTGTACCTTCTGAAGGTGTGTTCACAAACTCAATGCCATTACCTATAATTATAATTAATGACAACAAACAACCAACAAGTATTTCTGTTTCCTATCTGTGTCACAGCAAGTCATTCCCAAACTCCAGGAGTGCAGTCCAATGAGCATACCACACAGTGGTGTTTAAAAACTGCTTCTAAATGTATCCATGCTCCCTTTCGTTTGAAAACTAGCCGGGAGAGATATGTATTTTTGCTTTTTGTTGCTAATGGTTACGATGCCTTTTCTTTTAGCTTTTACATTTCAAGTTATGCAAATACTTGTCTTCAGAAAAACAAGAGTTTGGGAATGGGGCAGGCCTGCTTTCACAACCAGGGGCTTCCTTACTCCAGTTGTATGGATATTGGTTGGAATGATGAAATAAAGTTCTGTCCAACCTGCTTTCCCCAGTTCTTCAGTGAAGTTGCTTCTACCGTATAACACCGATCCTCTGTCAGTTTGCTTAAAGTAAATGTAATGTCTGTCTTTAAAGAAAATTCCACCCTCCAAACATTTCCAGAATTCTAGTAGGCCATAAATGTCCATGTAACATTTTGCCATTACATATAATATGCGTTTTAACATTTAGCTTATTTTGATACTTTATAGCAGATGGTTTTTTTTATTTTTTTGTCCACCCAAACATATGAACACTGAATTGCTTTCAATGCATTTTACAAAGCATACTCACATAGTAAGGAAAATGTTAATCATACTCAAATTTCCATTTTAATGTTAATGATAATACATCAGTTTTAGAAGTTTATGTACCAAATAGCGAGTATAGAAAAGATAAAATCACTAACATTTATTAAGGGAAAAAAACAATCCACTGGATAAAGTGGTCCTCATATTTTATTCTTATTTCTCTTATTATATTTGGACAGCTTTTCAGCTTACGAAACATCTGGGGTGGATTTTTCCTTAAAATACAACAACATACTTTCAAACTGACTTTGCCTGTGTTTGTAAGGCCAACTTCACACGTTCCACTTCCCCAACGTTTTCCCCATCTGCCAATCAATCAGAACCCCGTCTCCACCCCCACCGTTCCCCGTTGTCCACTTATACAGCTTATGTTTTACTCCATAATAGAAGACTTGTGTACATAGGAAAGTGTTTTGTATAAATGAGTACTATTTTCGACATCTTCACTAGAAACCAGGGCACAATGTAAACTTTGAACTGAAGCTATTGTAATGAAACAGAAGAGGACTTAACGGCAAGACTATAAAATTATACAGACACCGCTTTATCTTGATTTATGGACCAGTTAAAACGTGTCAGAGTGGACCATGCATAATTAAAAAAATATATTGTTTTCTTCTTTTACAGGGCATTTGGTTGAGTTGTCTCCTTTTTTTTTTTTTTTTTGATTTTTTAATATTATTGTAATTTAGTTTGTTTTTACTTTGTCACAAAATTTAGAGTTTGCTTTTTTAAAAATCATTAATAAATTATTAATCCACATTTGTGGGGAGGGGAGCAGCATTGCATGTACTGAAAATTTTGCTGGTTATAAAAGAAAAAGGAAAATGGTGAATTGACCAATTTAAAAGGGGATTACTGAAACCATTTTCAAAATTTAGAGGTTGTTCCTTAAACTTTTATGGGGAAACATTGCTTCAATTTGCAATTGCTTGCGTTTAACTCTACATTTTCTTTTCTATGAAAACAAAACAAAAATGGGAAAAAAAGAGTACTCAACACCTTGTGCAATAAAGCTATCTTTTTATAAACTGTGATGATATTGTTTATTGGCGACTTGGTGTTGAATGTTGAATCTTAACTTTTTCTTCTGTTTAATGAAAAATCATAAGAAGTGTGAATTTTTCAGCCATGGGGACATGTGTTGTGGATAGAGGAGGTTAAAAGCCAAATTTAACCTTTGCAAAGCCCCAAGACGTGTGAAAAAGGTCAAATGGGAACCAAGCCTGGAGAAATCTGTGCTCTTTTGCCTCATCTCAAACTAGTAGTAGAAACTTTACTGTAAATTGTAAACTGTCTTTAACTCTCCAGAGAACCAAGGAGTTTAAAATGAGGTGAAAAGTAAATTTTTTTTATTATAGACAAAATATAGCCTATAAAACTTGACATTTTTTTAAGACTGCCCAAATTGTTTAATCATCTTGCTTCACTTTTTTCAGCTAACTTTATTTAAAAAAAAATAAACACAGCAAGGTACTATGATTGGCTTTTATGTTGCTCTGAACAAGTAATTATTAATATTTGGAATATTTTGCACTTCCCCAGTAATTACTTTCATGATATCTAAGTGTACTTAAATGCTTATTTTCGTCAGCATCTCCATACAGCCACTTTAAACTATATGGAGTCATGCATGTTAGCTTTTACAGCTAGTACTGCACTTTGTGTAGTGCTTAAAAAAATTACAAGGTATACCTTATACCTTACCCAATGTAAGATTTATGCCACACAATTAAAATCTGATCATTAAAAATTATTTTCTTTTAAATTATGTAATCATTAATCCTCCAGTATGCTCATGCTCTTTAATCAAAATGATATTTTTGATACTGAAATATAATTTTTGTTCTTATCTATGAATTGTCATATTTAATCTTAAATAAAAATATGATTAAAAATATAGTCAATTACATTATTATTTTTTTATTAAGATGCTTAATTTCTGACTCCTAAAGTGAGCAGGCTCAAATTTGGATATAAAAACATAAATTCTGTTTGTTTGCCTAATAAATAACAATATCATTTTTTATATAAGTTTTTCAACAAGTTTTTGACAGATTTGAAACATTTTAGTGTTTTCATGTTAATAAGAAATGTAAGCACCATCCAACCAGAAGGATTTATTCAGAGTTGTCTCTCTGGTAGAAAACTGACCTATAGGTTTCATACCTGGGAAACTGACCAGCCTAATATTCAGCATTGTCACTGATTCCTTCATGTTTTATTTATGTTATTGCACTTCCACATTTGTGGAGATATTTGATTTCTCAATGTCGATGATGCTGTATGTTGATCGAATGCTGATTGGCCAGAGCAGAGAAGGGATTGACAAAACAAAACAAAAAAAACACAAAGATAAACAATACAGTATGAAAAGCACAGACCGTAGATACTTTTCATTGTTTTTAACACTTGGTTTCACTTCAGCTTTTTGCATGTTATAACTTACAGCTCCTCTCCACAACTTGCTGATGGACCGACAAGAGCACAAGCAAGAGTCGAAAGACGAGCTAAACCACATATTTTTGACATTGCCCCAATCTCACAACAGACTCTCTCTGCGGGTAGATGGGCAGTGCAATGCACTTCCGCCTTAAAGCCAAAATTTCTCGTGGAGACACACAGAAACCGCGTACAATCACATCTCATGAGCAGAAAAGCAATCACACTAAGGTTAAGTTCACCTCAGGGCAGCCATGCTGACAGAAGCTCATCACATTAGTGTCTGCTTTCATTGACTTAAACTAGCTCTTTGACAACAACTTAGCCTTTTGCCTTTTGTGGCACATTTTTCTACAAGTGCTATTTACACCAAAAGAAAGCTCCTGTTTTGCTCCTGTTTCTCATTGAAAGTGAACATGTTTTATGTTGTTTTTGAGAGTTGTTAGTGGTGTTGACAGGATTTGGTTTCCAGGTGCTTTAGCCATTATCCAATACCGATGAATACCAGAATAACCTACCTGTCTTTCCACAGAAGAATTGGCGATTCCTCTGCTTCTCTATCAGGATTTCCTCTTCTTCTAATGTGGGACTCAGGTTTGACTGCACATCGACCCTTCACACCATCTTTTGATATAAATTGGTTGCATTAACATACGTTCCGGCTCTATTGTTGTGTCAGATCATACATCTTCAACACAATCAGAAGTGGACTGGCCAACTGGCAGCATCGCTGGCCTGAAGATCACTTTGACCTGAAGTGAACATTCAGTTTGATGAATTTAAACATTTTCACATTACTACATATAATAACTGTTGATAACTTTAATTGTGTTTTGCAAACTTTTACAATATTTTAAAACCTTTAAAAACATCAAATTAAATAAGCACCTTAAAATTCATACAACTTGTGAGGCAAAAATTCCTCTAAACACTAGAGGGCAGTGAAACAACATAATCTGATGATGAGTTTATTGAAATGGACTGGGGGGTTTTTTTTCTTAAGAGACATCAGTGTTTTTCCACACATTTATATACAGGAAACAACAGTCATATATAAATTAGAGAATCACACTCACTCACGCACTCTTAAAATCACATCAATCATCACAGCACAGCAAATCTGTTCATTCAGAATTACAGAATATTCACATTTATTGTTCACATAGAAATTAAAATATGGTTTTATAAGCATTGTGTGAGATGTAGGCTGCTGTATGTTAATCTGGATTACTAATCTTGGGACCTCTACTAAGTTTAAATGTATGTATATTTGAATATAAGTGTTCATATGAATTTAATCATGACATCACAGCATTCATCTAGCCTTTGATGAAATCACATGAAATCACAGCTTGCTTGCTATTGTCTCTCAGACTTGCTGGAGTAGTAAGACTCTCCTGGTCCATCTACTTGCCGTTCTTGTGTTTCTTCTGCTGGAATTTCCTGAAATGGTTCTGGATGGTAGAGGCGGCCTTCTCAACTTCAACAGGGCTGAGCGGAGTAACAGCAGGCGCTGTGCATGTCCCGTTACTGGCATTGGAGTCTGAACACGACAGGACACAGGGAATAGCCAGGAAAGTAGAGGAAATAGCCATGTAGAGAAACTCTGTAGCAATGATTGAGTTCAAGCACATTTTATATATTAGCCTTTATTGAAGCAGGCTATTTTTCTGAAAAAAAATCTTTTAAAATTGGATTTCATAGTTATTCAGAACAACTTTTCCAGGGCCACTCATCAGAATAATAGCCTGCATTTAAAATATTTACCTACAAATGTTACTTACTCTTTCTATACACGCCTATGCTGTTTCTCCTGAGGCCATCATACTGTAAATGAAACAGAACAGCCTTGTGTTATAAAACTCTTAATAGATGTGCAGGCACACACAGGAAGGAGAGTAAGTATTGGTTTAGTGCACAAGATGTAACACATACAGATTATGTGTAAGAATAATCAGTAGTGCCATCTTCTCTGGCTGACATTCAGAGTTAAACATATGCAAAACTACTAAAATACTAAACTGCAATGTATGTTCCACACTTAAGGAACTAATGGCCAAAGTACATGTGTGTCTATGACTGTGCTTTCTTTCTATATACAGTCACAGTAATGACCTCAAACACAAATCCCCTTGATTGGGATTATAGCTCAAACAGAGCAGCGGCAGGGAATCCAGAGTCTGAGGACCAGCTTATCATGCCTACCTGCCAATTTGACTGTGTGTTTCATGCCTATGTTCAGTCTCATGTGTTGGCTTTATAACCCTGTCTATGAGGTCTGCTCCCTCGTTTCACCAGACAAGCTAAGGTAAATTTAAACTGTAGCCAGTCTAAGCACATAAGGGTATAGAGCTGCTTGTTGAGTATGACTGTTGCACCTTTTCATTTAAGTACTTGAGCTCACATTAAGCACTCCAGCTATTTATCCTCGATACATTTGTAAGTTTCAGTTGTATAGAGGTTTTAGACAGAAGTAACCTTAGAAAAGGTACAAGAAAAATACAAGCCTGTCAACCAAAATTTCACTTTTACAAAAAGATGTGCGCACTTTCAACTTGGGCTGAAATATGCTCCTTTATTCGGGGATACATATTGAAACCTTCAGGAGACATCAGATGTGAACTGTGAAGATGTAGAGGCAACTTTATTTTTAAAAATATATTATTTTGCTGCTACTTTCTGAGTATAGAGGCAAACCATCTCTGCCTTTTTAAGACACATTCCTCTGCTTCTATGTCCTGTGCTTCTGGACTTTCTTTCTACTAATTACCAAAGAATAAGAAAAGATCATTTATGAGTATTGATGATTAAAAAAATACTACTACTATTAATGTACATGAGATCATAATAATCTTATGATGATATTTATACAGGCTAGAAATACTAAGAATAGAGGATGTAGTTTTACCCAACAGTTTTCTCATACAGAGAATGAAGCTATATGAACAGAACTGATGTGGTTTTTAATGTAAATTATGATCTGCAGTATCGATCTTGCTATAACTAACCTCATCTGCTTTGCTGCTCCTCCGGCTGAGAGACACTGAGTGAACCTGCCAAGGCAAAGGCTGAGACACCACATAAGGCAAAGGATCCTGTTCCCGCGTAAATCGCGCCCCTATCTGTAAATAAAAAGACGTTTTGCTTAGACATATGAATATGGGTCAAAGGTCAACAACTGGCTCGGCTCTAAATGTGAACACTGAATAACG